GACAGCAACTCTGCTCCCTCGGCTTCAGGCACACCATTCTCCTAGTCCATCGGAGTGACAACTCCACCCTTAGAAACACCAGGGGCCATGGCTACACCATTTGAAACCCCAGAGGTCTCAGCCATACCTTTTGAGACTGAGGCAGCTCTGCTTCTTGTGTTCCTTGTCTCTTCAGCTTCTGCTTCCTGTGGCCTCTTGGCCCTCGGGCCTCACGCCCACATCTGCCCTGCTGGGGCAATTGTTCCAAAGCTCAGTAGCTCCACTGATTAAGTGCCTGGAGGCACCCCACTCTGCCAGGAAGCCTCCGCTGCACAGGCACTCAGCTGTCTCGCTCCGTGGGTCGGCTCCAGCACCGTCTCGGGCTGGTCTCCTGGTTCTGCTGCTGCTGGTTCTCTGTCGCTGCCCCTTCTGTGCTGCTGCAGGTTCTCTGCTGCTGCTGGTCCTCTGCCGCTGCCGCACCTCCATTCACAGTTTCAAAACCACTTCTGCATTTTAGGTATCTGTTAGAGCAGCACCCCACTCCCGGTACCAAATTCTGTTTCAGTCATCTTTCCCTTTCCGTCATAGCCAGGCCTTCAGGCTGCCTCTTGGAGAACCAGGAATTTCCCAGGAGGCAGCGGACCAAGGCCCGGCCTTTCCAGGTAGTACTCTGGCTCAGGATCTGTTTCTTTCTCTTCTTCTCTCAAAACCTGTTTCAAACTCATGATTGCACTGAAAAGGGTATTGTTAACTAATTTATACTAAAGTGTTATTGACTACTATTAGCCCCATTAAAAGAGGGGAGAATACTTATCTTAGAAGAATGAATAATGAAGAATTTCAGCTATGTTTCACCCATCTGCAGGGGCCTTTGTTTGCATCTCAGCTGAGGCATGCCCTGCCTCCCACCCAATTGCTCCATATCCCCGTGTGACAGCTGACCCCTCACCCATCCTCCCAGTGGCACCACTCTTCCCTCCTCACCACCCTAACCGAATTCACTGCAATGATACAGCCGATGTCTCCTCCTACCTCTGCAAGAGCGGACAGAATAGTGCTGGCCCCCACTGGGGTTAGACATCTAGCAGGCATGCGCCACCTGCTGATCCTTCTGGGAGGGCCAGATGGCCAGGAAACCTTAAATTTTAGAAAATGAATGGTGTGATAAATTAAGCCAAGGGCTCTAACTGGCCCTGAATGGGACCCTAATACTTTATCCCTTTGCTGGAAATGAGTTCTCCCTAAACCTACAGTCAGGAGACAAATCTTTCATTTCTCAAGTTCCTTGCTCAGATAATGGCTGCTTCAAAACCAACAATTCTGGAACAATAAAGACACCAACAATCAGTATTCCTTTCAGGCCACCCAAGTCGTTTCTAACACACAAAAGCACTCCCTGTTTTTCTTTTATTCTCTGATTAAAGAAAGGGGGAGCAGGGACTCAAACAGATTCTTGGACACCAATGTTCACCGCAGCACTATTCACAATAGCCAAAAGGTGGCCGCAACCCAAGTGTCCATCAACAGATGAATGAACAGAATGTGGTATATACATACAATGGAGTGTCACTCAGCCATAAAGAGAAATGAAGTTCTGATACACGCTCTGACACGGATGAACCATGAAAACATGCTAAACGAAATAAGCCAGACACAGAAGGACAAAGAGCGTATGAACGCTCTCGGACGAAATATTCAGGGCAGCAAATGTATAGAGACAAAGTGAGTCAGAGTTACCCGGGGCTGGCTACAGGGTTTCTGTGTAGGCTGATAAGAATGTTTTGGAAATAAATAGTGGTGGTGTTGCACAACCCTGTGGATACAGTTAATGCCACTGAACTGCACGCTCAAAACGGTTACAATGGCAAATTTTTA